GGGGGGGGGGGGGGGGGAATTCTGGGAATTGAAGTCCACACGTGTTAAAGTTGCTAAGGATGAGAAACATTGGGCCAGGGAGACATAATTCCCAAAGTAGGTGGCATATGGCTGAGCACCACAGTGGCCGAGTGAGAATAAGAATAAGGAGAAAAGTTGTGTCTGGACCAACTTGCGTAGCTTGTCATGACCAGCAAGAACAAGCTAAAATGACTCCCCCCACCCCACCAAAGGTAAAGAGGAGAAAAAGCTGGACGTTATGTTGATTTTGCCGAATTTGCAGTTTGCAGAATTCTCCCCAGCCCTTTCTGCTGCAAAAGGAGCCCCCGCTGGAGCTTCACGACCGCGAGTGTCCACGATGTTCGGTTGGATGGGAGGGGCCCTGTTGTGCGCAGTCTCCGGTCTGGTCCTCCTCATTGTGGCCACGGCCACGGACTTTTGGATGCAGTACCGCTACTCCGGCAGCCTCAGCAATCAGGGGCTCTGGCGCTTCTGCGTGGGAAACAAATGCCACCCGCACACCATCACCCTTGGTAAGGATGCCAACCAGCTTGGGGCTGAAAAATGGGACTGTTTTTAATGTGCAAACCAACTTCCAGAAAGAAAGAAACTATCGGTCCCAAGAGACCCTTGATTTGGGTTAGTGCATCCTCTGGACATCTGTAACTCGTTCCAAATGAGCATAGAACAAATCAAGCGTCAAGTTCCTCTCGGGTACTTGCAGAGTTTCTCAACCTTGGCCACTTTGAGACGTGTGGACTTCAACTCCCAGAATTCCTCAGCCAGCATGCTGGGAGTTGAAGTCCACCCATCTTAAAGTATACTGGCTGGGGAATTCTGGGAGTTGAAGTCCACACGTCTCAAAGTGGCCAAGGTTGAGAAACCCTGATTCAATGAATATATTTTTCTAAAGACAGGCTAGAAAAACTCAGCCGTGCAGGTCACTGAAAATGTGTTGCTTACAAGCTTTCGTTGGACTTAATGGCTGGATTCGCACCACCCACTGATCGCATTAAGTTAACGAAACAGAACTCCTGTGCCTACATAACACGCTGTGCCCATGGCTTGACATGATGGCAGGGTTCCTGCAACGTGCAAGACGAGGCTCAGTGGGACTAGATTGATGGTGGTTCAGCATGTTGTGGAAACCCATCTATGGTCTTAGCATATTGTGTGAACCAGTCAGAAGAGGTTTGTGACAGCCATACTGAATGTTTAGCCTAGGACCGCCAAGCCCCGGGTTCTAGTCCCTCTTCACTATCAAGTCCACGGGGGAACTTTGGACCAGTCACTGTCTCTAAGCCCAACTGACTTCACAGGGTTGATGTTATGGAGAAATATTGAGGAGGGAAAGTTTGATGTGGAACGTCATGCTCTTGGCGGGATATACATCTAAATAATGTACAAAATAAAATGGTTTGGAGGTTGTACAGGCAAGGCCTGAAGTTGCGCCTTGGCCCATGGCACCTAACCCCAACGCAGGTCCTGCGTCATAGAGGTGAAGTCCACACCAGTCCATAGGCAGCAACCAGGCCCTGTGTTAAGTCAAAGGTGGCCTTCCTGACCCTGAAGGTTCATGTGAGAGAACCAATGGCTCTCGCTCCCCACACAGCTTTCTGGGACGCCACGCGAGCCTTCATGCTCATCTCCATCCTGTCCTCTTTCGCTGGGATCATCCTGGAACTCATGACCTACTCCGGCAGCGCCCGTTTTTCCCGCAGCCGCTCCGCAGGGGTCACCCTCTTGATTGCAGGTAGGTGGGAACGCTCAGGGCCGGGGTGGGGGGCGGAAAGCAGACGCACGCGTTCTCCAGCCTGGATCCCCCCTTGGGGCGGATGACCGTGCCTGTCTCCTCCCAGTGCACGCCCATGCTCCAGGCGCAAGCAGAGGACAGTGAGGCTTCTGAGAGCCGGTTGGTTTGGGGCTGCCCCACCGCTTCTCTGTCCTTGTTGGTGGCTGAGTCCAAATGTGAATATTAAAAAGCAAGGGTGAAGGCGGACATCCTTGTCTAGTTCCTCTAAATCAGTGTTGTCCAAACTTGGCCACTTTAAGATGAGTGGACTTCAACTCCCAGA